CATTATGCTTCATTTTGGTATTTGTCTGTCATTACAACCATCGAGCTCGATGATTTTATTCATGAGTTCGGCACGTGGTGTGATATGCAGTTTCTGCGTAACCCCACGTTGTTTACATCCTTCTTTGCGTTGAAGGAGTTATTTCAATATTTGGAGGGCCTTCCATGGACGATTATTATGAGTTTGGAAGAGATTATGCTGCAAAAATTGATGCATGGAGACGTCATTGGTCTCCAAACTACTTATCCATTACCCAGGGTAGTGTGGGTACCAATGGAGGTGTGAGTATCGGCATCAGTGGAGGTGCAAGTAGTAGCATCAGCAAGGGTACCAGTGCAGCAATTGGCGCAACTGGTACTAGTACCAGCAACGGTACTGTTAGCATTGCTGGTGGCAGCACGAGGGGAGATGCTAGTGGCGTACCTTCGTTTAGGCCCATTCTTGAGTTCTTCCAAAGGTTGAGGAAGAACTATCAGGGGGTGAAGACAGAAAAGTTGAGGAGTCTCCAAAAGTTCAAGCGGACGATTGGTGAGAGTCTTCGTGAGGCATACACTCGTATGCAACGCTTGATCTCAATTACTCACGGTGTGACTGAGGCACAGGCTGTCCAGTATTGGTATCGGGATTTGGACAAAGAGTTGCCAAAGAGAGTTTGTGATGCTACTCTCATGAGCAACGCATCACCCACATTAGCCCATGTGTTTGCTCTTTCTAAGAAGATTGAGCTTAACATGGTGGAGGAAAGGATGGTGACGTCTACATCTGCAAAAGACACAACCACTACCTCGTGTATCCCACATAGCACAGCATAGTCTCGCATCATGGGTGGTGGTAATGGAAGTCGTGAAGTTCATACACGACATCCTATGGGTCATAGAGAGCCTAGTGCGTGGCCACCACTGCCTTCATTTTTGGGCCAGTCACAGGGACCATCATGTTGGACATGAGGAAGTGGTCATATGAGGAAGTATTGTCCCCAGGAGAGAGGGGGACAAACTTCACAGGCTAGGCCACATCCGGCACAGGTGACGTGTGATCATTGTGGTTGACCGGGTCATCCTTGAGAGCGTTGTTTTGACCTTCATCCGGAGTTGAGATCTGAAGGTAGAGGTCGTGGCGGTGATGCTCCACGAGGCCGCAGTGGCCGAGGTGGAAGAGGCGGTTTGGGTGGTAGAGGTACTGGTGCCATTGAGCGTACCGCAGCGAGTGCTACTTTTGCCACAGAGAGCACTATGGCGACTCGGATTGAGCAGTTGGAGCAGAGGCTTGCTGCTATGGCTGGTCAGGGGGCGAGCACTTCCATATCTTACAAGGGAGAGGATTTCTCTTATTTGGCCAGTGCACCACACGTTGAAGCATCAGTTGTAATGACCAGAGGTGGTGCTCGCACTTCAGAGCCACGCGGTGCGACTGTGGAGTTGGACCCTAAGAGGGGTGAGGGTGGACGTCAGTGTAATGAGAGACAAATACCAAAATGGAGCATAATGGTACAGATCCGTTCCCACGAGGACAGAAACAATCACAAAAGTCATGATTTGTCACAGAATAGCATTCTAATAAAGAGTTTCACTTCTTAGGCCAATGCCACTCCCAGAAGACACTACCTAGCTAGAGCCGAAGACCCATAGAGTAGTGCATAATCTCACTCACAACGTGAAACTTTTCCAAACAACGCCTGTAGGAATCGCTTGCAACTCCACACTTATATTTCAGGGGGAAAACTTCCAAGCATCGCATACATCTCAATTCACTGACCCGAATACTCAGACTCAAATTTGCTTAAATCCCAAGGAGCCTCAACTGCTCAGAACACTCGAGCCAAATACTCACAACTCCTAATGCGGTAACTTCGACAAACAGGAGCGCACCGTGCCTCAGGCCTGGATCACACACCAGCGCAAGGACACAGTGGATATAGATTCACAATCAAGACAAGCCAATTGACAGAAAAGCTCCCCAATGAAGGAGCCTTGAGCCTCTTTATTCACAATGGCAAATCTGGGATATCAACCGCCTGAGGCAAATTGTTCTCAGGAGTTGTGCCGTCCGATGTAACGGTTACAGCATCGTCTGAACTACTCTCTTACTCCTAATCTACGCAACACGTTTACAATCTCTACTTCTACATTCTGGCGCGCCTCATTCAATTCCTCTGAAAATGAATTAACTAACTCTACAATCTGTTTGTGCCTGCGGATCCGCTAGTCTTCGCGCTCATCAGCCGTCACTTGAGTTGATCTAGCTTCGACCACTTCACCAAATCCAATCCCCACATCGCGAACCCGTTCAGGCACTTCTCTAACCGCAATTTCAACACGTCAGTTAAATTCTCCCGTAGTTGTCGGTAGGCCTCCTCTGCCTTTTCCATTCTCCTTTGCGACTCTTCCGATCTCATCTCCGCCTTCCCTAACCGCTCTCGTAACCGTCGACAGTTAGATTCAACCTTTAATTTACATTTGACCTTTGAAGATTTGGCCGACTCGCAATCTGCCAATTTCTTGGCCCAATCCGCTAACTCCTCCTCATGCTTCTGGTTTCCCGCCGACAGACTTGCTGATAGCTCCTCCGCATGTCGGAATTCCATCTCATACTTCGCTTCAATCTCCGAGATTTTCCGACGAAGATCTTCCTCCGCCGTCTTCGTATTTGCGAGTTTGCTCCGAAGTTCTTTGGCGATACGAGCTTCTTTGGCTCTTTGGGCTTCCAATGTAGCAAGTTCCTTGACATGTTTCTTCTCTCGCTTCTCCGCAGTAATGATCAGCCGCTCCGATCTTTTGCTTTCCACCTCGTAAGCTTCTCTGGATTGCTTCAATCTCGCCGCCAAATCCACTGTTACCTTAAGGATATTCTCATTGGAGATACAAAGTCCTCTACATGTCTCCTCGAACTCTGCATAGCGCCCGGATTCCTTCTCTAGATTCAGCTGCAGTACTTCGCACTTAGTTTTCTTCTCCCGAAGCTGGGCTTCTCGCTCCCGCATCAATGTAGTTGCGGACTCCCACTCCCTTTTTACTGCAACTGCTCTCTTGTGCTTAGTCCTATTCCTAATCATTGGTACATAGAATCCTGGCTCCTCCATAGCATACTTTCCTCTCTTCCCGTCCAAATACTTCAACAATGGAACTACACTATCTTGCAAGAATTCAGGAAATTTAATTTCTAATGTCTTCACATCTTCGCTCGAAATCTTCTTCCCTTCTTCGGGTCTCACCTCTTCCACCGGAGATGTCGGCAGTGTAATGCCCTCGGCTTCTACCACCGTCCCTCCTACCCTTGCGACAACATGTTTCAGAATCTCCTCACTCAAAGTGAACTCCTTCTCCAGGTACTCATTCATCTTCATCTGTGGTGTCTTTTCGCCTTGCGCCGACCGCGTCTGCTCCGAAGACAGAGAAATCGGACTTACCAATTCCGTTCCCTCCTTCAAAGGTTCTGCCGGTATGTCTGCCCGGACTTCGACTTACACCTATGAAGGTACTCCTATCTCCACATGCCGCATTACCCCGCCAACTGCGACTTCGGCTGTGTTTACAATTGGTGCCACCGTCTTCTCCACACTATTGTCCGACACCTCAACTGTCAGCATCCTCCGTTTCATCCTATTCTTTGGCCTTACGCGAGAACTGTGATGTCTGGCCCCACTTACATCCATATCCATCCTTCTTACTTCGTGGGCCAATTCCTCCTTGTTGTCACTCACGACCTTCCTTTTCTTTGCCATTCGTCTCTCTGGCTTCTCCTGCCTTTGAACCACGTCCACCTGAACTGGTCCTCGAGCTGTTGTTTGTGGTGGGATTGAAAGGAATCGGTTCTCGTCTTCAGTCCCTTCACTGGACTCAGCTGTCACGATTTCTCGCTCTTTTGGAAATCGCTTCTCCTCCTCCTTCGTAAGCAATCCCATCCCTCGATAGAAATTAACCAGAAAGGGAGTGATGTGATTGGTCAGGGCTCCTGTCCACAGGGAGCCTGCATTCACCCAGACAAGATCGTTTGTCAGGGTTTGTCCTCGAGGAGTAGATGATTTGATCTTCACATGTTACGAATTGCAGATATGCGACTAACGATGGGGCGACATAGCACCCGGCCTACTGGTTCGCACACCCACGAAGGTGTATAGCATGTAGTTGTAGATAGGGCTACATGGGAGTTAGAGGTACCTGACCACCAGCTAGGAGGGCGAGTTGTGACATTTGAGTGTGTACTCTCTCGCGCCTTATATGTGTGTATGTGTGCGTATGTGTATGTGATTAGCATGTCAGCGATGTATGATGTATGGCGATACGTATTCGCTTGACATCTATGAAGCATGGATGGAAAAACTGATGAATGTGTTAGCTCATCAAAGTAAATCATAAACCTCTATTAAATAGATGTGAGATGGATGTGAAATTGTATCTCATGTCAAGCATCAGGCTAAATGACTCTACTCTAGCGAAGAGTGATTGTAAGGATATATGTCTTATGGAATTCCATGTACTTTCTACTATTATTTTCAAATAGCATGTTGATTCTACTTCAAGAGTGAACAAACTTGACAACTCCTCTCCATCATCACTCGTTGGGTTTACTTAGAGTGGTGATACACTCACCGGACAGACTAATAATTTAGAAGAGAGTTGGAATCATTTAGTGATGAATTACTGGGTTCAAAAGAGACCTTCAATGCAGGTCGTTGGCACCTATGATAGAAGAAGTTCAGGAAAATACCAATAAACACAACTATCTTTCTTTACTCCAAACATATCTTCAAGATATCTAAAATACTGGCTGCAATAAGAGAGCGATAAATATTCAAAAATCAATGTGTGTCTTGGTAAAGCCAGACAAAACTATCTATATCCGGTAGAGTCTATCAGTCCATCTCCAAAGCAAATGCTTTTAACTCAAATGCCTAACTTGAAATTACTTAACTTACTCGATCACAGACACCAGACTTTTATGCCGAAGCATAATTTAATCCCGGGTCGGAGGCTTGTTTCGAAGAGAAGTGAGAACATCAGAAGAGGTGAAAATGTAAACCCGAATAGGCTGTATTATCGTACGTCGAAGATTCAAGACTCGGGGTCACCAGGCTTCTCTCTGAAGGAATCCGTCACTTCGAGTTCGCCGTGACATTTGCGCGACGGGATCGGCTTTGGTCATTTTCCGCCTGTTTGCTGCTCACTCGCCCGCTGCGAAGCTTGGCCCTTCTCTTGACCCCCGGTGTTCGATCGCAGTGTTGTTTTCCTTTGAACGAGGAGCATAAGGGAGAAAATTTGCGCTCTGTGAGAAGAAGGGACCGGGACCGTTAGCAAACATGTCGAGGCGATATGATAGTAGAACAACGATTTTTTCTCCAGAGGGGAGATTGTATCAAGTGGAGTATGCGATGGAGGCCATTAGTAACGCCGGCGCGGCGATCGGAGTACTGGCGAAGGATGGAGTGGTCTTGGCAGCTGAGAAGCGAGTGATTTCTAAGCTGTTGGCCACCTCTAAGTCGACCGAGAAGATGTATAAGATCGACGATCATGTCGCTTGTGCTGTCGCTGGTATAATGGCTGATGCTAACATCCTTATCAACACAGCGAGACTACAAGCTCAAAGGTGAGCTTACTGACCTTCTTTTTTATGTGTGGCTGTCTCCGAAATACGCTTCATAGTTATCGCGAGCATTTTAGGGATTCCCATTGCCCAGCCTCTTGTAAGTGAATGATTTGGATTAGCATTAACGTCAACAAATACCACCTCTTCAGTGCGTTGGGAACACTACAGAGGACATTCTATTCTGCGTTATATCTGGAAGAATTTGAGCGTTGACATACAGGATCCTCATATATTTTTCCTAAGATCCACATTTATATATAATTGATGTTTAGAAATTTGTCACAAGTCGTAGGAAATGATCGACCTTACCCTAAATTTCAGAATTGTCCCTGCGTGTACATCATGTATAGTAAGTAGTTTGCACCCAGATTGTGAGTGGACCCAAATTGGTGCCAAAATGTCGACGTGTTCAGAAGTTCGTTGGACATATGGAACTGATACGCGTCTGTCTGCAATATCGAAGAAGCCCTTTAATTTCCTACCTGGTCCTCAAGTGACTGAATCACTCAAACGTTGCCTTGCTTCAGTTTAGGCTTCCTGAATGTTTGGTACAGTTCAAATAAACTCATGTACTTACCTATTTGGCTGAACGTTTTTTTTCTGGAGGTCTTATATTTCTCAGCACAGTCTATGGCCAGGGACCTTCTTGGGAAGTATTCTGGAGCCTTTGCTGGCTGATCATAACCGTATATTCCTTTTATAAATTGTTTGAAGTGAGTTGAGGTTAAGGTCGAGGTTGAGGTTGAGTACAAAACCGCATAAAGATCGATATTTTTTTTTCTCTTTCGCCAAATATAGTTATCTTCATCGTATTTAGTTAGGTAAGATGTGCAAAAAATTGAAGAAAAGCCAAGTATTCTGCTTTTCTTCAGTATGATGCACACTTGTGTTACCTCGACGAGAGCGCGGGACACATACAAAGATGGAAATAGAGCAAGATCGCATATGTATTTCCCAAGCCTCGCGTTAGTTCGCATTATCACGATGATCAAAAGTGTCTCCTATTCCTGTATTATTCCTTCATTGTTAATGGAATAGTTCGATCATTTGGTGGTTTTGAATACTAGGCCTGGCCTTGATCCATTATTTGACGCAGGTATACCTTGTCATATCAAGAGCCGATGCCAGTGGAACAGTTGGTGCAATCACTTTGTGATACCAAGCAAGGATACACACAGTTTGGTGGGCTTCGTCCTTTTGGAGTTTCTTTCTTGTTCGCAGGTTATGATAAGAAGTTTGGGTTTCAACTTTACATGAGCGATCCGAGTGGAAACTACGGAGGCCGGAAAGCAGGAGCTATCGGAGCTAACAACCAAGCAGCACAGTCTATGCTGAAGCAGGACTACAAGGATGATATTACTAGAGAGGAAGCTGTGCAGCTGGCCTTGAAGGTTCTAAGTAAGACCATGGACAGCACCAGTTTGTCTGCAGAGAAGCTGGAGCTAGCCGAAGTTAGTCTTACACCAGAAGGGGAGGTCAAGTATCGGGTTTGCACACCTGAAAATTTAAATAAGTTGCTAGTGAAATTGGGCATCACGCAGGTGGTTGTAGAAGAGCAATGATAAGCACACTATGGATGAACTCCTTGCCTTGTCTACTGTTCTGACTTTTTTAAGTACTGCACTTGGGCGACGGATTATGCTCGACAGTTCTGAACTTTCACGAGGACATGATGGTGTATGACCGTGCGATTCTATCAGGGTCTACGAGAGTTTGGAGAATGTGAACTCTGCGGGGCCTTTTAACTCCTTGCCAATAACATCTCCGTTTGTGAATATTCTACGTTGGTTTCTTCATTAATTTTGTGTCCTTTGTAATATACGATGGACGTTCCTGAGGAGAACAACTTGCAGTTTGGGGACCTCTTTGCACATGAATGGTTCACTTTTGTGAGGTCTACACTAGCAACAAGTAGAGAAGGTTTTATGCTCTGATAAGATTGTGAGATGATCGTGTGACGGCTGATTCTTCTTCTGTGCATGTTGTGTGGATAAGCTCAATGTACTCAGGTTGATCGGCGAGTGTTGGTTATTCTCAATGTACCGTTCGATGGATTTCGACCTGATGATATATATGTTTGGATGGGGATACCATGTTGTTTGTTGAACTGTCTTCAAGAGGAAAAGCAGCCCACTACCATTCTCCACTACGAATGGTAGTGTATCTGTTTTTCAGCTTGAAGCTTGGGGGACACGTGCATTAAAGGTTCCCCCAATCTCTCAGCCTAGATTGAAAAACCGAAGCTGCCATTCTGTGCAGTATTGCTGGGGCTGTGAACCAACAGGTTGAGGAGCCGGTAAAGTTTTCTGGATTTCTTTGTAATTTCGAAAGCAACCTTCGTATGAGACGAGTCCCACGAACAGAGTCAATTTCTTATTGTCCATTTTTAACGACTTCTTCTTTGTAACATTGTAGGAGTGGTTTTATTTTTTCTTAATGTGGTAGAACCTGAAGTTTACCATATTATCTAGACAGAGGTGACTTGGCAGAAGGTCAAGTATCTTCATTTTCTCGTCATTATATCTTGGCGAAATTGTATCATGCTTTGTCATGTCGTTGGTATGGAGCCTATACATTTCACGAGTTATGGCACACGCAAAGTCCAATGCTCTTGCCTTTAACAGCTGCTCTTGGATCCTTTGAACAGCTGTATATGTCTTCCACATTTTTGATTCTCTTAAGAGTCTTCTTATGGAATCGGAGTTAATGAGCAATTTATCAGAAGGTAGAGTATTTACATTGTTATTTACAAATATATTTATCTAAGAAATCCACCTGGTTTAAAGACTTATACTGTAAATAATAATATGAATTCCAAACTCTGCAATGAAGTCGGTAAAACCAAGTTTCATTTCCACATGCCACCAGTCATCACTGATGGCATCAGGGACTCTGATGACTCATCAGGTTTCCACTCTACAAAACTTTGTACTCTGATACATACGATAATGTCTGAAATGTAAGATCCATTCGAGTAAGTTAACTCATGCGATGGCAGATCATGCTCATACTTGTGTGGAGAGGTACTTAAAGTTCGGCACCATTTTGATGAGGATATCTCTATAGAGAAATGACTTTATTGAAACTCACTTTCACGATTTAGTTGTTGCATTGAGACTCCACGTTCACTTCGTGAAACTCAACCTTTTACGAGGGAACAAGTCTGGAATGCAACAATGCGTTGAAATCAATTGGATACAAGCCTTGATTACGTAAGAGTGGGATGCACCAATGCATAGAAGATTACAAATTACGACAATTCAAAGATGTGTAGAGATTTAAAAAAAATTTGTATAGTAAGTGGGTACGTGATTTCACAAACTTCCAATGTAAAATAATGATATACTGTGTGCGCGTATGAAAATTTTGTTATGCTAACCCACTCACAGCATGTAGGTGGTTTTATCGGGATTTGCGAATTCTTTTCATAGTTGAAAAGAAAATGACTGACCAAAGGTAGTTTGGTAAACAAAAATTTTGGAATGAAAAATATTCATTTGAATAAAAAAAATTATGTACAACTTCAAAATTATTGTTATATATCTCTCATGAAAAATATTAAAGAATATTAATCTATCAGATCTGTAAAACTTTGGGCCTCATTAACCGCCCAAAATAACAATAAATTAAATTTTTTTTAAAAAAAATTATTGCATGCAGAGTAAAACTATAAATCAATTCGTGCAGAAACTTGTTATTGCAACATTTATATAATTTGAATTGATTTGTTACTACGATTAACTCAGGATTGCTGTATTTTTAGTGCTAAAACTAGATACATCAACTCGATGAATCCCATATATATGGGCTTCACCTCTTATTAGTCCCGCCGTGCGATTTATCTTTGATGTTTTTGGATTCTCCTAATAACAGTAATAACAAACTGAAAATTATCTCTGTAAGAACCTCAAAAGCAGTTTATGCCCACAAAACAAACATAAACTGTTTTCGAACAATCATATTCAGTTTATGCATATGATTGTTCCAAAATAGTTCAATCATATTCAGAAATCCCTCACCACAATATGCCCTTTCAGTCAACTGGTTCTAGTTCTGAGCATGAGGTTACGAAATCAGCAACAATAGAAAAAAATTTCTCCATGGACATGGGGAAAGGACAATTTTAATTCTTTGTGCAACTATTTTCTATTTCGATTCACATGGTTTATTATCTTTGTTACAGTGTTTATTTAAATCCTAAATATACCCCAAACCCTAAAAAAGTTATGTGCATCTATTCTCGTCTAGCATTTTTATGCACATAATTTAATGACTTTGTCATTTTCTAACGTTTTTTTATAAAAATCCAGAACATATGTAGGGTAAATTATTATGTTTTTTTGCGCATTAAATTTGATATTTCTGAATATATAGAGGAGACAACGAATCAATTGCATAAGTTGCACTTGCACTTTACATTCTTGGCCATATGATTAGTGAAATCAAGTCTCAAATTCTGCATTACAGAATTTGAGACTTGAATACATAAGCAAAAACGCAAACACACCAAAACGCAGATATGAGCATGTACAAAAACGCCAATACAAAGTATGTGGTTTGCCACTGCGAGTGACATTCACGAGAACAACAGAAAACATTTATTGGTACAAACCCTAAAGTGTTCGATTATAGCTTTTGCTAGCACTCCTTTATAGTGAATAGCAAAACCTTTACGCTATTTAGAATTAAACTAAAAATAAATCTGAAATAATACTAACATTTTACTGAATTCCCATTTCAAATTGATTGCATCACCAAGTCAATGATTTCCGTTACCAACTTTGAGCCTAGCGCATCGGTATGTATGGGAGTGGCCAAAAGTTGCTCTCGCTATTCTTGTATATAACAAACTTATGTGCATACGATTTCAGTTTTGATCTTCTGATCCTCTTCGTCAAAATCCGTATAGTTTCAAACGCTAGGAACAGAAACTGTCACCTATATACTCTAAATGCTATGACATCAACTGTGGCTTTGATATGATATATTTCATTGAGAGTTCACTTGATAAAACACACAGGAATTATATAGATCATATTATATAATAAAAATAGCTTTAAAATAATTTTGAAGCTAATAAAATTCTGTGAAGTTTGAATGAATTGCAAAAACCAAAGAATAGACAGAATATTTATTTGGTTTTAGAAATAATTTAGTAACTAATCTTGTCATGACATTTAAATAAACTTGTTCAAGTTTATCTATTGATATCTTTAAGGGGTATTTAAAATTGAAAGAAAAAAAGTTGAGTACATTGCATATATTTTCATATTTGTATCATGGTCTTAAAAAAGGACAAGACAGTGTGTGTTGCTTTATATAGATGATTTCACATCTATGTGAAAGCAACAAGCTGGTCATCGTGATCGAACACCAAAACCGAATGTACGTCATGTAGCACATTGTACGTCATAGAATTGTAAAATATCATGATAAATATACCGAACCCACACGCACTAGAGATGATACAGAAGAAAGTCAAAGGTTGAATGTATTTGTGTTTCATGTCAAAGTGAGGATATTCGTCATGCTTGTTACGGACTTGAACTAATTCGGCTTCTAATATCACAATCTTTCCCAATTCGCAGTGACTTGAGGCGAAGGGCATTTCGTTTTGCTGGTTGGCCCGTTGTAATTGTAAACAGCGATCTATGCTCTTAGTCCCTCTCACTGTCGTGGGCCGAGAAATTCCTCAAATATATCATGCATAGTCCTCGTTGCAAGGAGATTTTCCTTTCTTTTCCATTAGTTTTAATCTTCCGCATTCCTACCTACGGAAATCCTTCTCGGCTTTCTGGTACAGTACTAAAATGTGTGAAGCAACCGAAGTGACTGGTCTTCGTCTACTGGCTTAAAATATCTGTACGCATGTAGCGCGCTTCTGTCCAGGGCTTCTCCACTGGGGCTGTCGGTCGGCGTCAAAGTCCTCCGCTTCATCCTTGCAAAGGATTTTCCTTGTTCCGCTGGTTCCGGCGCCCGCGCTTCACCGCACGACGGAGTCGACATTTGGAGTGAGACCAAGAGGAGATGATAATTCGGGGTTTCGACCGGCACTGCCTCATGATTATATACCGGAGCTGCGCCACTTCGGGGCGCATGGGCGAGGCAAGCCAGTCAGTGCAGGTCTACGGAGGCGCTGAGCATTCTTGTAGAAGCAGATATCGAGCACGTTGCGCCAATCATTTTCCCTAGTGCTGCTGCCGGTGCCTGTTGGAACTCGGAAGGAAGCTCGGGCCGCCGGGGAGGGGGGATTGGCGGAGTGGGGCCAGGACGGACCTTGTGCGCATGAAGATTCGTTTCTGGAAGCTCTTCCCTCAGCGGGAAGATCAAAACCGGGATCGCGCTGGGCGACAAGGTCTCGTCCTGCGTCCAGTGGATGCACGGACCGGAAGATTCCATATCCGCCAATAGACTCTCGAGACACGCCCGAGTCTTGAACTCAAGGCAGCAGATCAGGCAGCCACTATTTACTTTGCAAAAGGAGATCGAGCCAATGATCTCGGGGCTAAGCAATGTCGTATTCTGACCTCAGGCAATCACTGTGCACAATAGCTGTCGCTGGTTCGAATAACGTCATGGTGCTGAGGCGAGCTAGTCATGCCCCTCGCAGGGTTCTCTAAATTTGAGCCAATTTGTTGATCCGTTGTCATTCACCCGGATTGCCACTTCACCGAGCCAGTGTAACCGTTCAGTCACAGACCTAGCTCGTGTTGCTAAAGGTGCGCAGTCCTAACAACTCACTCGCATCCTTGCAGACGCAAGCGCTCTCTCCCTCATTCAAATCCGTCTTCTGATCAGTCACCTCCGAGTACTGTCGCCTCCCCTAATTGTGAACTTCAACTTCCAGGCTTCCATCCTTCGCGTTGTGGACGGACTTCATGAGGCTGTCCGTGTCAATCACTGCCGTCTGCATTTTGGTCCGCAAATGACGACGATCAGTGTTCTCGATACTCGCAGTACGCATCAGTGCTACTGAAGGAAAGGGATGGGCATTTTATAACCAATGATTTTCCTTGTGGCATAGGGTGATGGAATCCTTAGTGGCTCACAAGCTACAAACAGCACCGTGTGCATGGAAGATAGAATATCGTTAATAACGAACCAGTACCATTTTCCGCGGGAAATTATTGTTCGTGCTGAGGTTTCCATGTTCCTGAAATGTAGGCGAGTCTACGTATGCTGTGACACACGGCGAGTTCGATTGGATACAAAGTCGACAAAGAACGACCCGTTACGTTCAATGCTTTGGATGTCCTAGACATCGTGACAAGTTAAGTGCACGAGAGATGCAAGTGCATATAGATTGATATTCAAATTAGCATCGCCCAAAGGATTATCCCGACGTGGCTCAACCGAGCATAACTATAATTGGTCGCAGAGCACTGAACACCCTCCTACTCGCTGGCTCGCTAAAGGCCTTTCCATCCTTTCTTTCTTCGTGACTCCGCCCGCGATCAGCGAAGGTTAAGGACGGACCTTCGCGGCGCAGTCTTAATCGCTATCCCTGTAGGCCTTAGCAACAGCTTTTCCTTTTTCGAGTATGGCAGCAGGAACCGTGGCAAGAAGTCTGCAAATGGGGGACAGCAGTGACAACCTTTCAATTCCAGCACAGCGTTGCACATTTTTTTCCAGAAATCAGTTCACGTTCACGAAGACATATGACGGAAGACCTTAAAGCAGTGACTGGTGCATCGACAACGTCGCCCGACCGACCTTTACCTATCTATTGCCGTCACTGCCGTGGAGAGCCTTTGCCTCATTTTCTCGATGGGCGCATCTTGAGACCTCGATGCCTGGAAGAGCAGTCCATCCAAATCCTCCAGAGCGCTGTGAGCATGTGCAATCAGCCAGAAGCGAACATGCGTCAGAAATTTGAGGACTAGAGTACTAATACTGAGTCCTCTCCCTCTAATTGCTCATTCAATCGGCTACAAAATACACTTCGGACAAGGCCCTATTACAGAGCCCTCCGCGACATTGCGAGATCCACGTCGTCGGGGCACTCTGATCCAACACAGAGCGATGGAGTCGTGAGGTCACGGTACCTGAGACACTGGTCCACTGCGGCAGACGCCACCCTCTCATTCCCCGACTCTGCAGCGTACTGAGCAACCTGCACGACATAAGCCCCAAACCCTGTCCCCCATGAGCGTTTACACGAAGGGAAGGCTTCGCAGCAGCGAAGGCTTGCTTCCTTACGTACGCCGAGGGTCCTCCCTCCCGCGCGCTCTGGCGCTGGTGTCAGCGCCGCGCGTGCCGCGTCGTGTGATGATCATCGGTCGCCTGCCGGCTCAGTCTTCCACCGCCTGGACCACTGAATCTCTAAAATGGTCCGTCCAGGCATTCTGTACTAAAGTGGACGAGGCACGGACGGCCCGGCCTCGAAGATGCTTGCAAGCCTCGAAGATGCTTGCAAGCCTCGATGAGGAGGAGTACGGGGCTCGCAGGGGTTCGGTATCTCTCGAGGAACGTAACCCAACGTGCATGATTTCCGAAAGGGGAAGAGAGGGGAGAGTACACTTCTTCTCGGGCCGACTTACCGCTCTGATGTCGGTGCGGAGAGACGCGGCAGGGCCATTGCGCAGCAGAGAGCGAGCATCTGCGAATTTCGAAGCCTCGCCCTCCAGCCTTCCATCTGTGCAGACGATTCGAGGAATCAGTTGTCGGGCCAGCATGACTCGCTGAGCGCGTGTGTAGGCGGAAGGGAACATCGGGGTATGGAATATTCATACTCCCGTGCTGTCAGGCGAACTCACCAACTTCCTGGAACTGCGACTGAGCCAGAAGGATGGTGGGCACGTAGGTTTCAAGAGGATCTAGTTTCTTCCTGCAAGAGCCGCGCATAGACGCATCCACATGTCAATACCTTGGTGGTGTGCTCAGAGATCGCAGGTACAAGATCAGCTAGCTGTCTGTCACATTCAATCAAGCACGTCGAATTGGAAGAGTTTAAAATTCCGCAATTCGAAGTTTCCAGCACAGCACGTTCGAGCCGAGAGGCGATTTTGCAGGGAGAGGAGAGACGAGGAAAAGCTTGAAATTGAAAAGTAGTCGAATTTGTATCCAGTGGGGAACCGTATAACGGTCAAACCAGAACCGCATCACCCAGCAGTCGTTCGCACCTCTTAATGTACTTGCTCAACGCGCCAGGAACGTCCGAAGCCTGTGCATCTGTGTCCATTTCACAGTCAAAACCATGAAACCACTTCAGCTCACGCAGCTCCAGCAAGGGATACGACATACTCTTCAATCAGTTTGCCTTTTGGGGAGGCAAGTGCAGTTGCATTCCTTCAGACGGAAAACGCAACAAACTTGAGAAAGCGAACAATTCACTGATCGTTGTTTGAAGGATTCAGCTAGAATCTCATCGAGGCTTCATTTGTGCATGACTTTAATCGCCAGTATTAAAAGCCACAGGTGAGGATACAAATTCGCATGTTACTTGCCAGTCTAGGATGGGCATTCACCATCAGAAGGAGCGGATTCATAGAAACCACCTCCTACAAAATTCGATGAAGCAACAGAATTCAGAGGTTGGAAGTCGCCCTGGACTTTACTTGTAACGCGCAGTAAGAAGTCTCACCATTTCCAAAAGAAGAGATAGAACCTCCGATCAGTGCTGTTAAAAGGGCTCTCCTTTCAAAGGTGCAATCGTCGCCATGTTGACCAGAACCTAGTTCACTGCCGTTGGAAGCTCGTGTCGTGGATGCACAATTTTGCACAAGCAACGGCTTCGTTTCCACTTTCAGTTGGGTTCTTATTCTTGGCCCAGAGCTCATACGCAAAAACCTAGCAGCCTTTTGTTGGCGTCCCTCTCCCACGCATGAGTCCCAAAAGCCGAACTCGCAAGGGCACGAGAAATTCCGTCTCAAACAAGCCATATCAGAAGGCCTGCCTCTTTCTCGCGACCACTAATTTCTCCAGTCGATCAAGAGCATTCGAAATGTGGAGTTCGACCCTCGGCGATTCCCCGACCAATCCTGCAGCATCAATTACTACAATCTTACCGGCAGCAGTGAGACGTCGACAGGCGCACCTGCCCGCACGACAATTCTGAGATCTCTTGCCGCAAGAATTGACATGTAGGGTCCGTTCCGCAACCCACGACAGCTGGAGCGAAAGGCGACGACATGATCATCACCGCGGTACCACCTTCCCCTGGCTATGGCGGGCGACGCAGAACAAGCCAACCAGACTATCTCCGTCCAGCACCTCATCCCCAAAACACAACCATTCATTCCTTCGCTCGTCGGTTTTCCGTTCATCTAGCCGACTGCCTCATTCCACCTCCTTTTCATGCTTTCACTTGAATTCAAACTTCGGAGCCCGCTAACGAGTCCGTGAAGCCGTGACTCGACAAACCATATCTTTTCCGACGAAAATATTATACTCGCCAGGCGCGAATTAGGATGTCTTCTTCATGATTGGAGACGTTGAACAGGGAGGTGTCTGTCGTAGACTCAAGAGTGTGCTCATGTCGATGAGTCTTACGTTGTTATCCACTCTCCTATCTGGCATTATCAGCTTATTTTCAATCCACACTCCGGGTCAAATTGTCCTGGTTCAGCCTACACTATTATTTCGCAGTTTTTGTTTCTCAACATTACTAGAGTTGCCAACTTTTCTGATATTGACTTTCCATTATTTTATGCAAGTTATTAATGAATGGTGTTGAATTTGAGAGCCAGTTTACACAATAGGGCTTACACATCTTCTCTGTCGTATTTGGCAGAGAGGTTGTGAACGTAAGAAACTCTAAAGTCTGTTATCTGGAGTTCTAACTACAGATATTCTGTTTTTAAGTATGTGTTTGTCTGTTTCGAAGTGATATTTCCAAAAATTAATTCTTAATATTTCATGTTTACATACCATTTTTGTAAACCACACATTGTTTTGTAAAAAATATATTTTATCAATTTTACTTCAATGTCATGATCAAATATCTGAAATCTAAATCATTGTTACAGATACATCCCCACAATATTCAAAATTTCATTTACTTATAAAATTCAAATATAGTTAGAAATTGACATTCTCTCATATCGATTGTTTCTCACTAGAATGACAACCACATGATTGTCATTCTAGAGATCAATAACAATCCCGTCAAAAATTCTTAAGTATTCTAAAAATATTTTGTGTCAATTTTATTTTTTTCACTTAATGTAAACCAAAATACAAATCATATTTGAGAGATATGAAGATACTTCAATTTATAGGTATATGAAGATAGCAATAAATTCTAGTTCGCTGAAAAAATGGACGATGTATGTGCTAGTCTTTCAATTTTTGTTCATTGTCTTGAAAGTAGCACGTCTTGTTCGCAAGTTAGTGATGAAATAGCTATCATGTGACAAAATGTCCAATATATATTACAATTCTACAAATTTTAAAACCTATCGAATACTGAAACAATGAAATACAAATCACAAATAAGAGAACCATAACAATAGAACCAAATGAGAGGGAACAATGTATATTTATAAACATCATGTGATAAAACTTCCAAACATTGTATTGTAAAAATAACATAATTTTTTCAAATTTGTTGATATAAATATCAAATTTAGCATAAATTTGATACATAATATTGTAATCGATTTTTTTATAGATATCTATTATATTTTTTCATGTATACCCTAAAGAAAATCACCATTGCATTAGATGATATGACTGTTGAGACTTTTTACATATCTTGTTTGTAATTTTGAAAAATTGACCTTTTTGAAATGTGAAAAATGTTTATATTTGTAACACAAATATATTTTGCAATTACTTCAATCAAAACATATTTTAACGAATTTTAAGATAAATAATGACACATGAAGATTTAAAACCTCAAAAAATGTTCAAAAAAATTTGCTAATGATTCCGATGATCATAAAAGAAAATTTTTTTCTTTCTTTCTTATATATGTACAAACAAAACGGTTTCATAAATATCATGTTAATTAAAGACAATCCTCCAATATCTATTTTTGGTTTGAAATAAAATTGCTCACAATTTTAATATATATTTATAAATGTAAAAATGTTTGTATATTTATATATGATTGGTTTGAAATTTTTTAGATGATTTTGATTACTCATATTTTGTCTAAGATAAAGGAATGGTTATAGTTGTAATTGCAAAATTGAACTGTATAGAGTATGATTTACATTACATTTCTTATATCAGTTTTCTAACTTCGGAATAACATATTTTTGTATTAAATATTTTGTTTGATTTTTTTTTTTGAAAATTCAAGTATAACTTGATGAAAGTATTATTCTATGTTGAATCAAAAAATCACATCGTGCATACTTGAAATATTTTAATAAATATAACGTGCTAAATTACTAGAAAGCTGTAAACTTAGATAATCAAGATTATATATATATATATATATATATATATATATATTAAAATTTATGGTTTATGAAAAATACTATTTTTTGCACATATAGCAGAAAGTTGTTCTGTTTTGTGTGACTTTAAATCAAGCCATTAGTATGATAATGTTAAAAAAATAATTATAACTTTCATTGACCAATAAAATTTTAATTTGACCATAATTTTTGAAAAAAATTTGAAAAAAATTTAGCATCTAAGCGGCAATTCCACATATATAATTTTGCAAAAATTCGTGAACGATTTGTGCGTTTGAATCTATATGCAAGCATAAATATTATGGATTGGGTAAGATATGATAACATTCAAATTGAATATACAATGTGAATCAATGACATGAAGCAAAGACTTAGAAGCAGAAGGAAGTAATATCATGATGTTTTATAGAATAAATATTGTCTTGTTCAAACCGAGATTTAGTTTGCAGCCCATGTTAATTCTTTCCAAGACCTTGTTGTTCGCTACGTCGCCTATCGCTGAATTCACTCCCAATAGATAAACGACGGGCGTGTCATTAGTTCATGTCAAGTGAGGTTGACTTAGTGTGTCAAACGGTAAGATTTACTCAGAATCTTGCAACCTTCATTGCGAATCCCTGTTTACTACATATGAATCTTAGAATTTGTGGTGGGAAGCTTTTGAGTATACTAAAGATAATGGGGGTAACAAACATGTTTTTACAACATTTTGTTGCTAAATAGAACATGAATATTTAAGAAATTCACAGTACTGCAGGTCCTAATAAAGTAAAGTGTTCAGAATCTTTCAAGCTGGTCTATATACATTGCAAGTAATCGTTCATAGTTTGCATGATTCCTATACAATTCAGGTAGAGATAAGGCCTTCGACAATATTATTCCCCTGTACTGATCTTGCATATTGTGATGAATCAAATAGCTCACAAGCATAATGAACACTGCGAAATTGAGTTAAGACCGGAAGTCCTGCAGACTTTAAAAAAATGAATATCTGCTTGATTGGTTCTGCCAATACACACAGTACAGTGATGAACTGATACTGTGAATTAATTGCTCAAACACTAACATAGATATCAGTACAGTTCAACCCTATCCTGGAATCAAGTCCGTGGCCTTTCCCTAAGATGCACATTCATTTTTTGATAAACAATTTCATTATTGCTCTAGATACGTGGGTATAACTAAATTCATGAACTTCTCATCTAGAAAATCTCATGTTTACTCCTTCAAGTCTTCACCAACGGTGATAAGTGATTTGTATGATTTGTCTACATAGAGCTGCATATTATCGGCGAAGCAACTGATATTCAAAGATTTTCAAAGTAGAATGATGGATCTTCAAGAATGTATAGGTATAAGAACATATGATTGGATCTTCTGGATCACGATTCATTATCAGACCACTCAAAACACAAATAAACATAGACTCATATACATGAGGAATTTCCACCGCATAGGTTGCCAAGCACAGTGCAAAATTCGGCGAGTACTTTTGAACAAAATTTGAACAAACCTAAGCTAGTTCGAAGACCTGAGCTCCAAACAACTGTTGAATCAGTCAGTATAATTAAGGTGAATAATCACATGAAGAGTTTCCAGGAGGGCTCGAGGACTAGCAAGTTTTGCAACTGTGGAGCAAATCAGATGCTCAATTGTTGAAGTGAGCTGAAGACAATAATACTGGATGCCAGAATGAGGAGACTGCCGGTTCATACTGCTATATTCTGCGGAGCCTCTGGTCCAAAAGTGGGCTTGTAGCTTGGACTTTTGTTGACGACGTTTGGAACTATTGGGTAGCCATGGCATGACATTCGCAAAATTTAAGCTGACACAGGTGGACAGCTTAACAACTATTCTTCGATTATATCATGCGATAGGAGGGTCCAGAACATATAAAGTTGGACCAATGAATTCGAAGAGAGTATGTGGAGCCAATGCTTGAGAAATGAGAAGGTGTTAAGGTCGAGATTGAAAGTGGAACGTGAACACGAGGAGGAGTTTCATACCATCGTCATTCACGTCCAAAGGTTTCGGACGCTGGAACGTGAAGGTGGAAGCACAGCCTCTTCAAATCAAGAAGAAGTTGTGCCCTGAGTGGACGAGCGGGGACGTCGAGGGACCGAGGGTGAGGGAGTGGCCACAGGTAGAATGATGGCAGGCACAGAGGGAGGGGTAAAAGCGGGAATGGGGAAATAATGGGCACGATAATAATGCAGGAAACGATGAAAGGATAAAATTCGCGGTTCCGGCTGCTGCTGCTGCTCCGTGCGAGCTTCGCGGTAATGGTAACGTCAAAATTGCCTGCCTTCACATGTCAGACAGAAACCAGAAACCAAAATGCGAATGGGGGCGCAAGAACGGACGGAGTGGCACGAGAATGTGCTTACCGCGGTAAGTCCTAACGCCAGGGTAGGACCGTAAAATTTAGGGTTAAGGTTGCAGTCCGGTCTCAGCGTGGCAGGAAAGTCCCCCGCTTGTGGTGGTGCTCCCTCGCTCGCTCTGCTGTGCTGCTCCCTCTGGTCTGGTCTCGAGCTCTATGCACAAGAATTTTCTCTCTCTGCACCTCGTGCAGTAGGTAGTAGCCACTGCTTGCTCCCATGGGAGCGAGAAGGAGGATGCGGGATGGAGGACGAGCGGCAACATCGCGAAACAGAGTGATCGTCGGCGAATTGGAGTTGTTGGAGGAGGTGGAACGAGAGCCCGAGGTCTGAACGATGGGATGATGGACGAATTTCGGATGTCTTTCTTGTAAGTAGTTCCAGAGATTCAATTGCGTTTGATTAGCGTCAAAATTGAGCGATTGCTCGGGGGACTTGTGATGCTCTTTGCTTGAGCTGTTTTTCGGTGCCCTTGGCTCGGGTCATTGGTTGGTCAAAGAATTATTTTCTGGGAAATAAGGAAGAAATGAAGGGGACTGGGTTGTGGTAGACTTTGCGGCGTGGAGTCGGTGCTGTGTCGTTTTTCTATGTGTTTGCGTGTGTTTGTGTGAGGGAGAAAGGGAGAGGGACAGGTGGAGATGAAGCGAGGGCGGGAGGAAGAGCGAGAGAGGAGGGAGGGAAGACGATAGGGGAGAAGAGAAGATTGAGCGCTTGGCTGGTGATGGGGGGAATTCAAGCAAAGATTTGTGTTGTGGAACCAGGAAGTGCAGATAGAGCTGTGGTAATGGAGAGTGGATTGCTTGCCGCTTGTTCATGGGGTGGGTTGGATCGGTAAGTAGATAGGTGACAAGGAAGGGAAGATCACTGTCGTTTATTATTTCTTGAAGCATGGAGGCTGGTGGAGAAGTTGTTGGGGATCTAGGCGTAGATGGTGAGCCAGTAGCCGTTCCAATTGAGCAAGTCGATGAGTCGGCCGAGAGGCAGAATCGCAACCCCCGTTGGTCACAGCACGAAACTTTGGTACTAGTTGCTGCCAAGAAGCGGCAAGGTGAAGAGCTTTCTCCTGCGATACCCCGCCCTAGAAATCTCACTGCAGATGAGAGGTGGGAGTTGGTTGCCGCCTATTGCAAGGCCAATGGTTGTGAAAGAAATGCCTATCAGTGCAGAAAGCGATGGTTTGCACTGTATGGAGACTACAAGAAGGTGAAGGAGTGGCAGAGGTCCAGTGCCGAGACCTACTGGGGCATGAAAAACGACAGACGGCGGGAGAATAGGCTTCCAGGAACTTTTGATCGAGTGGTCTTTCAAAGCATGGATTCTTGGCTGAAGATAAGTTCCGATGCCCAATTTGACACTCCTACTCGCCCGGACGAGGGGATTTCGTCGGAGATTGAACAAGATGTCGAGGGGCAAGAGCTCCCGGATATTGCTCGTGGAGACGGGAACTCTATTGTTCCCCGATCAGGTAGGCAATTTTCTGTCTCGCCCCAGCCCAGCGCATTAACCACTTCTTGTAAGAAACAATTTTTACATGCCTTCCTATTTTTGGCAAGGTTATGAATGCCGGATGGTAAGGTGCTCCCGGAAGAATCTCGTGTGCCTTAACGACCCACATTTCTAAATTTATCTGTATATCATCCGCTCGATGTGAGCTGCCAATTATTCGATAGTAAGGAAGAAATCCGTGAACTAAACATGGAGGCTGCTTTTGTCGCCGCTTCATTGAAGCTGGACTTGAATATTTTTAAGGTTTCTGCGGAACTTTGAACTCAGTAATATTCGTATAATACCGAACAATCTGCGTGGTTTTGTAATTGCCCCTATTTTGAGATAAAGAGTTTTGGGCGCGAAGATTGTGCGGGATGGCTCGGGAATAGTCCAAAGTTGTGACTGCACCTAAGTTCTAACGGTATGTATAAGATTCATACTGCATGTGGTGTTCTACATGACATGTTTATGATGCATCATCAAATTCGTGCTCTATGTCGCCATCAAGAAATTGGGTGGGAGGTTTGGAGACTACTAAGCGTGATTAAAGCTCCGCACAGCCGCATAGAGAGGTTGGCGTGGAAGTTTGTAGATAACAAAGCCCTCAATAATTAGTAACACGCTCTCATTAAAAAGTGGAATTTATATTATGAAATACAGCCAAAGTTACACTTCTTACTTGGACACCTTATGAGTTTCCTTACTCATATGTTGAGCACAGTATGTTTGAAATGATGCAGAGCAAACAGGTGATCTAGGAGATAAGCGATACCGCAACCCTCGTTGGTCACTACACGAGTCCCTCATTCTTTTGGCTGCCAAAAAAAAGCAAGAAGATGATTCTGGAATGGCTCCCAAAGCCAGAGCACGTACTGTCAGTGCTGATGAGCGTTGGGAGTCTATATCTGCCCACTGCAGAACTAATGGGTGCGAGAGAAATGCTTATCAATGCCGGAAGCGCTGGAGTGCATTGTTGGGTGATTTCAAGCGAATACGAGAGTGGCAGAAGCTGAGTACTGAGTCCTACTGGCTCATGAAGAACGAGAAACGGAAGGAGAACAAGCTTCCGGCAATCTTTGATTACGAGGTGTTTGTGAACATGGACTCGTGGGTAGGGAAACGGACCGGGAAAAAGTCGGGCGCAGCACCAGAATTCTTAGATTGTGCCCGACCTGCCAATGGAAGACTGTTTCCGGACGTGGAGCATGACCGGGAGGGTCATCTAGAACCAGTTCCGCTTATTGGTGGCTGTCAAAGAAATACAACTTTAGCTCCTGAAATGGGTATCTATCTCCACCACTATCCCGCAATCTTGCTTGGGAAGAAAATCTTGGAGCAGCTTTCGTTTTGAGATTCGAACCACTGAGTTTCTTACCAAATGAAAGAGCTTAGTCGTAGAGAGAGTTTCTCTGGAAGGTCGTTAAGGACTCTGACTTGTTGGTGGCCGTCAAAGAACCTTCTATTTTAGCTCATGAAAGTATATATTCCAACCTGGACGCAGCTTTAGCTCGCAAGGAAGGTAATGAAGCGGTTTTCGTTGTGGAAATTCCAAGCTTAGGTTTGGAGAGCTCAAAACCCGGAAAAGTTCCTAGCCTTTCGCATCAAGGGTGCTCGGTTTCTCGAAGGTGCAAGACCAGTATGTCAGATAGAGCATTGTAGGATTAATCCGTGTTTTAAACTTTTCTTCTTGTAGCTAGTACCACGTGTATCTGTCTGATCTGTTGGTTTCCGGCACAGTTTCCTCTAATCTGCAGTAGTTTGTTCTCCTGTGAACTTATTGATCCTTCATACCTTACTATTATTCGCTGGCCAGAATCAACTTTACATTCTCCCACAAGGTCTAAAGCCTGAATTAGCCTTTGAGATGGTCTCGTTACCTACGTTTTCGCAATTATCTGCCATGAACAGGGCATAGCAGAGTGCTTGGGTTCTTTCGGCCTTTACGATGATTTCTGATACACTGTTATTAGATGTCCGAGGGAGATTCCATTTTCCAACGCAGATTGGAACTCTGTTTTCTCATCTAATCTCGGGTCAACAAATTTGTGTGCAAATCGTTTTGTTGTTGCATAAGTTTCTCTGCTGACCGTCTCCTGTCTATGTTTTGGTCTAACTTTGCGCTTATGTGTGAGTATCATTACGATGAGTAAGTATCCAGCATAGTGAACATGGTGATTTTTTCTGTTAGTCTTGTTATCGTTTGACAGCTCCTTTCTTCGAAGTCCTGGTTACCGGGTGAACAAGATGGAAACTATGCTCCGATATGATCAAAGTCTGTCTTCTATAACACCTTTAAAATTGGTCCCTTTCGAGTCATACGTTAGTTCTGAACTTCGAATATGATATGCGACAGCAGCTCTATATGAGATAAGTTGCTGATGTCTACATCGTTCCGTATCCGCTTTTTCTTTTCATATCAGGGTTAGTTTAGCCTTCTGACATAGCCTTCTGACGTGAAGGGTTGGAATATTTATGGATGTCTTTGCAAATAGAGGCAGTATTTCCCAGATTTTTTTGCAATCATTCCATAGATCATTTTTACAAACTTTTTCAATTACCATTTATTGTTGGGTATGCAAAGTATGTAATTATTTCTGTTTGTCCCGATCGTTTATACCCTTGCTTTTTTCGCTTCGAGTTATCCTCATTCCACGCGTGGTTAAGTGAAGAAATCTATGCTCCTTGGTATCCACCTATGACGTTGCCGAGACTACGTGACGGCAATTCGTCTCTTCCCGTTCAATTATTGTTCATGCTCACATGCTCACTGGAGGACTTTCTTGCGTCGTACTCGTTCCTCCATTCTGCTCACTTAGTAGGTCGGGTTTGTCAATTTCACATAGCTGGTCTCCTTGCTTCCTTCCAATTTCCAGCGTTCTTCTGCTCCTCGGTCCCATCAATTTACAACTCACTTTTCTTTCATTCATTTGCTAGTTCAGTTCATGCATGACACGTCTCATTTTTATTTTTCTTGAAGTCTTCATGTTTCGCTATATCTAGTGTATTTAGTCGGCACCTTTTAAACCTAACACCTTGATCCGAGTCTCTTCGGTCTCTTTCACGCTAAGCCCCACGATCATTTACTATCTCATACTTATGTCCCTACGTTGTTTCGAACAGAAGGATCATTTTTTGTGTAGGATTGGTCCTCAATGCTGCTCACTTAATTTTCCCAGCTATCAATTTGAGAAGTCGTCTGCGCGCATTCCATTTTTTTTAATTCTTGTCACTAACTCTTTCATCTGTCTTTTATTCTCTTACCTTATCAGTTCATGCATGACAGGGATCCGCTTTCTACATGCTTGTAGATTTCGTTGGCACCCTCGATAAAACGTACCACCTAGATCTGAGCTGTTCGGTCTCTTGCATGGTTAAGTTTCCGAGATTTATCATGTACTACATTACACATACGTCCGTACATTGTATGCCTTGGCCTCTGTAGTTGTTGGGTCTTCAGTGTGCTCTGCCCTGTCTAGTACTCAAATGCTACTCAAATACAGCTTTACTTTTGTGCCATTCATTTGAGTCCATTCTGGTGTGCTACGAACATCTTAATTGGATTTTGCCCTATAATGTTTCAGAGACATGATAGGGCAAATCCATTCTTCAGTTGCATACTATGTATGCCTTTTCGAGAATATGGTTTTCTAGATGGTTTGCTATTTTGGATCAGAGTTTTTTGGGGCTAAGGATACTTCGATGAGGGACTAGGGTGAGAATCAAGGGAGACATAATTTTGACTGTGAGACTTATGATATTTCGTTTGCTTGAAACGAGGTTGAATGCAACCAAACGGTGTCTTTACTGACTCTGGTCATATCGTTTGATATAATGGGTCGGTCTTTGACTCACGCACATCTTTTTTCATCTTGAGTTTCATCATGGTAGGAAGCTCTGAAAAGATTTTGCTGATGTTTATACCTCATGAGTTTCTTGATACTGTTTTTCACTGAAAAATGACTTCAGAGGCCTTTTTGAACCAGGTCTTCGTAGACATTGTGACTGCAGGAGAAATCATTGCGAGTAACATGATTTCAATTGAAGATCAGATTCCAGCGCAGCTTACGCGCTTCAGAATGTGAGGAGTTTGTCCTTACTTTCCAGTCTGTCTTAGGCTTGTTTCCACTTGTCTTGCCTTCGTTGTCGGGGTGATGTCAGTGATATATGTTGGTGGTAGTTCGAGTTTTCGGACTACCACCTACTATCCGACGCCGGAAGGAAGAAAAACAAGAAGGAGCTGAAACATGTGAAAGGTGCTTTATGGATCGCAAAATAACTAATCGTTGACTTGCGGGAACGAGATCCATTTCCACCTCCTGTATAGTTCATAATGCTGCTTGAAGCTTGAAAGAGGACGTTAATGTACAACCTCCAAGCTGCATCAAAGGCTATACAGGAGGCAGAAAAAGAGCAGCCTGGTCGGTAAATCGCAGTATTTTAATGGTCAGTGGCCAGGGTGTTACACTAAAGAACGTCACGGGTTTCCGGGAAGACTTTGGTCGGTGGATGACTAAAGCTTTGCAAAGGTATATACATTGTCTTGTATCAATTGTCTAACTCCAACACCTTGAATTTCAATATGGAAGACTCATGGCCAGGTGGGAGCAAACTTACAAACTGAAGGCTTGTTTAGATTGAGGCAAGCCGAATTATTCCAAAGAGCTTTTTCGACCGTCCTTAGTTAAGTAACTTTCGGTTATATTTGCGCAAGATGTGAAGTAAATATTTGTACATATTAGTCCGTAAATGTTGGGACCCACAACCTTTCTCGCCCTGAGTAATGAAACTCAAGCATTTTAGATTCTGCTTCTCACCACTTTACTTTCCTCCCTCCCGACTGGAAACTGACCTTGTTAGAACAATCAAAACCTTGAGGAAGTTCCACTTGAAGATAACTACAGTGAGCAAAAGTGGATGAATGCACAGGAGACAATACGCCTGCAGAGTGACATTTAGATGCTGTGCAGATTACCATTCTCTTTTTTAAATCATTTTGTGGCGTTGTTTTCTCGATCGAAGTATAGTGGGGAACCTTTCTTCGTTCTCAGAGAGATTTTCATAGCTTCGGACCTTTCTCTTGGTATAGTAAATTACAGCAAACGATTAGTGGACCCGCGATAGATCTAGTAGCGTAAGATCCGATGGGTTTTCAGTAATATCATATCAAATTCATAATGTGGTCAAATATCGGCAGGACATCGACGCGGGAATATTGAGGTTCTTTTATCTCCTGTGATGAACGATGGTTTTAAATTTTCTTTCTGTGGTAGTATCATTTTAGGACCCAGACTTGTTTGACATGAACTCAGCAATGTAGCTTTTTATATACTCTGGAAATACGAAGATTTACTCGCGCGTCCTATTGTAGTCGGCCAGTAGGTGTACATATCCTAACGCCTGATTGCTACAAACATGTTTTGTAATTGAATGATTATTGCCAATGCCTGTGTTGGGAGTGTTCAAAACCTAGTTTATAAAGTGTGTTCGACACTGGCGTTTAGTACCCGAGCAATGTTGGTTCCAACACGCCTTATCGCGATTTATTTCTGAGTGGCTACTCTTGAATAACGCAAAAACTCTTAACGTTGTCAACTGGCTTGGCCAGCATCTGATGACACCATCATGAGTGCTAATGAAGTACTGGCGTTTAAGCATAATATTACACCCTTGCTATTGTCAGCCTGCTCTGTTAACGTGCATGCTTGTGGTTCGTACGTAAACGAAATACTGCCTTACTTTCTATCCAGTCGTCGCTTTGATTAGCTGTATGGAGTTTGCTCTTCAACGTGATATCAACTATTAAAATCGCATGTTTGCGGCGAGGTCACTCACTTCTTCTGTTCCGTCTGATTCAATATTTGGATGCGTGCCGAGGGTTCCTCTCTGGGTGCCTCGCCTTGAACTATTATATCAGCTTACTGTAGAACTTGCGTGGAGGCTAGAGACAGTCTGTAACCTCACACAGAGTAGGTCAGTAATTCATATGGCAATTGTATTACCAACCATAGGAACAAAAGTGTAACATCGAATGTTATCTGAACACTCTATTGTATATCCTAGACTCCTCGGCATTTATTGGAAATCCTCCTGTGGCCTTATACTCTCAGTGTAATCTGATACAGTATATCTGGGCATTTGAAGAGTAATGATCACCATCCATGATGTACGAGTTGGGTCGCTGTGATGAAGCTCATCGAGGTCATACCCAGTGTTATCTTTCTTCTTTCCACGTTAAGTTGTATTTTACCACATTCATTCTTGATCCTTCACGGTCTCCTCTGTCTCGACGCTGTCGTGTTGCCGTTACTTCCTCATTAACACTTAGTTTTTTTCAACATCTGTCACTACATGTGTTCTTCGCTTTGTTCTTCTTTTATCCTTTCCTTGTAGTCGATGATTTCAGTTGATGTTCATGATACTGTAGAATAGAGTGTACATATACCTTTGATATGTCTGTTACCAGTTCTCCGGACCTTGGAACCCTAAGTTTTATATCAGTTGAGTATAATAAATTTTTATTTCTAATATGTTCTGAGTTCATCACCTATATCCGTGCTGCAGTTTAGTGGTGGAAAAGCCAATACTTGACGTTTAAAAGCGACGGATAGTTGTTTCTAGAGGGCTTTATGAGGCATGATGATCAGAACTGTGGAGCAGTAACGCTTATACAGGACGTCTTTTCGTTCGAGGTTCTTTTGCGATGAACACGAGCCACATTTGCAGACACAATGATCAATTTGACAAATTAAGTTGAATTTAAGTTGGTCAAAACTTAAATTTAACTTAAGATACTAAAGGTGTTCTGTGTTGAATTTACTGTGGGAAGCTGTTGTAAGATAAGCTTGATCCTGTTGGTTGTTTGCACTCAGATGAACTTCTACGTTATTTTGCGGCCAACAACTACTCTAGAACCTGAAAGTCGCTTTCATATTCTATGTTTGATAATTTTGTATTAAGTAGTGAAGTTTGCCCTCATAAACTGGATCGTCTTTTCAGCTGAACGATTAGTCTATGTTAGGGGCATGTGCCCTTTGTTAGGAGATATAGTAGGAGGAGAAGAATAAGGAATTGTCAAAGTGGCTCGTAATTTGTGGAAGTTACAAGCCTGACAAAAATCTGCAGCAAGAAGATCTTTGTGGTAGGTCTAGACTTGAAGTCATTCCTAATCCTCCCGCAGCAAGGGAATATTTGCCCTTGTGTTTAAATGTTGAACTTGGTATAACGCTCGTATTCGTGCAGCCAGGGGTGACAATATTGTCATGATTTTTCGTCTGCAGCTCTCCACTCTTGGATGGTTTAGTCTGTAGCGGGGCGATAGAAGCTTGGGGAGATCATGCTTTCTCTGCATCTCTTTCAAACGAACTCAAATGGTGGAGCCTGTAGAAGTTCTTTCTTACGTCTCTTGTAGATCGACGAGCGGTGCTCTATTTATCGGTGGAATCTTTGGCCATTACCCAGTATCCAGTCAAGCCCATGGCTTGAGGCGTCAGAAAGATGATGTCGAAACTGGTGAAACATGGCTTTTAACACCAACCGATGAAGTTGTTATGTCGTCCTGAGATTGCTTAAAGCAGTAAATCACATGAATATTGAATTGTACGATTTTCAGCCTGAGTTCTCTACGGCCGGTACGATCGTGGTTAGTTAGGTCAGACACAAACTGTTCTTGAGGTTTGTCATGGTGACTTCCAGTTTAGATTCATTAGTTTCTGCAACATCAATCACTGACGCCATGTCAGGTAGCCGGTCCAGAGGAAAGAGTGTCTTTGAATGTACTTCGCGGATAATTCATGATTGTAGACAATTTCGTGGAAGTCTCTTTTGCACATAACTTAATGTCATGCGCTGAGGACCGTCCCCGTTTTAGAAATGTGGCTTTCGATGGTTTTGCAAATATAACAGTTTTTTCGACGTACAAGTTAAGTAGGCGTGTAGATGGAAGTAAGTAGAAAGAACAGTGATAGAAAGCGGCGAAGATCGTTGATTAAATGGAGTTGGTATAATTGTTGAGATGAAATGATCCGAAAATGACTCAAGTTGTTTTCCTCTACTAGATCAACCGCGTTCTTTATTCCAGTATCACTCTATCCTTGACTTCTTCCATGTAAATAACTTTCGTCCCAGCTCAGATATTGTGTTCTCAGACCTAAAACCCAATTATGTGGTCAGAAAGTACAGGAGTAGAGATTCGCATAAATTGGATGATAGGTTTGACGACTGTGAAGCCCAGGAACTAAAGTCGCATCATTGTGTCTGACATTTGATAGTGGCTAGTTGGACAGACTGAAAGGGAAAAGCCGTACTCAAATTTGACTCCTTGTGGTTTTTCAGGCCCAACACTACGGGAGGAAATGCCAAGTGATTCAACAGCCAGGAAGAAGAGGAAGCGAGGTATGAATGGAGACGCCAGTGACTTCAAGGGTCAGCAGTTGGCAGCTGTCTTCAAGAGCAGTGTCAAGGCAATGCAAGCAGCTCTAGCTGAGAACACACAGATGCAGATTCAAGCACACCATACTAATATTCAGGCCCAGATCGAGGCCCATAATCTGAACAGTCAATTGGACCGAACCCAGAGGAAGGAGCAGGGGGAGAGCTTGGTCGGAGTACTGGGAAAGTTGGCGGAGGCACTGGGGAAGATTGCAGAAAAATTGGTGTGAATTTTGTGCGTAAGTAAGACGAGCACTGTGATAAAAACTGATTTTTTGCTGAGTAATAAAGACAAAGAAAGGGCTTGCTTCTCCTCACGATGAGGAAAACATTTGCGCTCATGATCTTTATTACTACTTTGATTTTATCAGAAGCATGGCACAGAAAGAACGCATTCAGTTATAATTGCAGATATTGAAGACCTAGTGCTTCTGTGTGAAGACTAAATTTGTCTATCTTGCTGGGAAGACTGGCTGGATCGTTTGTACTTTTGATTTTCAAAAAATGCTGTTGAAGTGATTGACAGATGCGTTAGATCTTAGATGTCTTTTCATATATGGATACCTACGTTGTACACTGTTTACGTTTGGACCCGAGTTCTGACATTCACAGCTAAGCTTTCTTATGAAATAGAGCAGGTCCATCAGACAAAGTTGCCTGCCAGTTAGTTTTATGCCCTAGTGCGTTAGGTTTGTTGACTCAAGTCTACCACGTATACCATAACTTTCTCTGCGTTCCGTTGGCCCTACCCGGATATCTTTTGCTTGTTATTGTGCAAGCACCCTCCATCGTATGGATATACTTGTCGTGAAGGAATGCATCCCAGATTAGAACAGAAGGCATGCCTGAGGTTCTATGGTATACTAAAGAGTTTTTTCTTGGCTCGACGGCGAGTTTTTTGCCCTGAGTAACCTGTTAGCGAGCCTTTCACGATCCCAACAGTAGCAAAGCCTGAAATCGTTAGTGACCCCTACGGAATCTGCTGGCAGATCTGGAGTGTGACTATGAAACAGCAGCGTACATGACGACTGTCGCATCTTTGTAAGGTGAGCAAGGTACGCGGTGTCGAACATTTTGGCTCCAATTATTCTCATCCCTTCTACCTATTTTTTCTAACAGCCCGAGGGTCGAGTCATGTCTGCCTTTCCGTTACTCTCACCAGTATGGACCTCCTAGAGTCTTGACTTAGCACTGCAGCGACGTCGAAATGGCTAGTAGTTGTGGTTTCCGTTCCGATGTCGATCATTTTTGAAGTTGGAAGAGTATACTCAACACTCTTTCTCATCTTTTCGAATCAATTTCTCAAGATGGTTGGGCCATGGCTGCAGACGAAAATTCACGAAGGTTGGGGGATGTAATTTTCAAGCCTTCTGCTGGAATTGTAGACAAGGGAAACTCCGATACTACAGAATCCGTGGGACATGGAAGGTAGCTAATGGACACAAAAAATGACATAGCATCAACAAGTCGAATGTTGAAAGGTGGAAAAATCCAGGACAAGATAGCGTTTGCTGTAAAGTTGAGTTCATTTGTTCTTAAAGAATTCTTTTATTTACTTTCATGTTGAAAGTATGATACTTCATATTCTCAAAATATATCATACATTTGACCTGGTCCAAGAGTAATCACAATGTATGTCAGCAACATACTGGAATATATACCACGTGTACCATATATATATACAGAATTGAGGAGAGAAACCAGTGGTGGAGACTTTAACGAACTAATATACACGTGCAGGAACTGTTCGGGGGAAAATGCGGTTTCACCTTAAATTTCTGGCACTTAATTCAACAGATTACTTACACAAGAAACTCTCTCCTTATAAGGTGGTAAGTCAGATGTATCATATTTCTAAGCCGATCATTTTCATATGTATATAGGCCAGAAGAAATCCTGTTACATATCCACACGCAGATTTTACCATGATCACTAAAACAACTTGTGTATTATGGAACGTATCAAATAAATTAGGCGGAAATCGTTTCGTGTGAGAATGGTTGAGTGATTTCCTCAATGCATTATATTCACTGGAGGTATTTACTTGAAGGTACCCCATCTGAACCTATTCACTGGTGTAGTATCCTGTTTACCCAGGATTGTGGAGCTTGAAACTCATGTCAACGTGCTGGGCATATGAATCATCATTATATGGGATTGTTTTCTCAGATGATGACATTTGTTTCACATTGTGATGTTTTTTAGGCTTGAATAAGTCAGCAAAACAATGAATGTACTTGGCAACGTTATCTTCACTCACAATGACGTTCATCATCCGACGGTAATACTTTGTGACCAGTAGCAATCTAGGATGAAATTTTTATTTGTGCTGCTAACATATGGGAAATATTTATTTTAATGTTTGAAGACATTTTTATTTATACTACAATCAAATGTGAAATACACTTGATCAGTCTGATATTGCATGACATCAATTCCCATATGTATGATTTATCTATAAATCTTTGTATCAAAAAAAATCACAATGTAGAAATTTATTGGAATAAAATATTGCATATTTTTTTATACCCGTACATAATTTCATTTTTTTATACATATATGAAAATGAAGATATAATTTCAAAATACATTTTCAATTACATATCCTATCGAATACTAAGTATTTTTTTAATCATTAATAAAGTATCCAAGTTTTGGTTTCAAAAATTATACGGATATAATACTGATCTGATCATTTAAGATTTTCATGTTTTCCTCAAAATGATTATTTCATGAATAATGAAAAGAAAATCTTAGAAATTTTTTTAATTCATAAAAAAACACATTTACATCCTTCACATCCATATTTAACATAATCATTAATTATGTAACAATACCTTTTCATTACAAATATGTACAATAGATATGATGAATTATATCAAATAATAAATTTTTTATTCTTGAAAGTATAATTTATGAATATTTTCGGTTTCATAATTCTAATTTGTGAAAATTATCAAAGATAAGAAAGTGTTGAAATTTGAATGATTCATCATTCTTGGAAATTTTTTTTTATGCAATACTATATCCAATAGAGTTCTACATGAATAATTTTATTGAAATGATCACTATCCACAAAAAATGTTTTACTAAACCTCAAAACTTTGTAAGAAACAATTACAACTATCACTCGTATATGATAGGATACTAATGAGTAGAATTAATTATAGTGGAGAAGATTTTTGTATAATCTTAACAATTTTGATTTTTTTGTCATATTTTATAAAATTATACAAAATATGATCTTCTATTAACTAGAATTGATCTTATACGATAATCAAAACATGATAATGAAAATTCAAATTTACACATTACAATATATTTAATGAAATCTATTCTTTATACAAATTTTGCATGACAGTACATTAGAATTTGAATATTTGAATATAGAAATTTTTTTTCCATACTACTATTTAAATTAATTAGAAAATAAATTTGACTTGTCTAATTTATATTAAAAAATTGTATATATGATAAATTGATATTTGTTAGATTGTTACTCAACATGAGTGTTGTCGACGGTAAATTCAGGTTAGTTTAGTTGTTAGTTAGGGTTTTGTCCGTGAGTACTTGGGGTGAGTTTATTGTGATACTATCAAGCTACTTGTTATTAAATGCATGAGCTTGAAACTATCTTTGATGATACTGGCGGCTACGTTGTTTGAGGCTGGGAGAATCTTGTCACAAGAAATGTAGGTTGACTAAAGAGTGGTTGACTACTGTAGTGAGTTTATGAGATCATCGAGCGAGGTACAGAGTTTCACGTTCCAATAATATCACCTCTTAGTAGTGACATACTCCCAATAGTGACTTAAAAGTGTGAACCCATTAGATCGTAGCTTGAAAATCTATCAAATAAGAATGGTAAGTCATTTTTTTCTAAAAGTGACATAAGATCTCAAATAGTGACCGTCCGTGGCACGTGCTAAATATTTGCCAAGTGCTTTGACATTTTGAACAAAATTTGTCCAGTTCATCGACAGAGTTCGTAGAAAAATTTCGGAGCATTCTTCACGAGCGAGATGTCCTCATCGGCAGATCTCGTAACAAAGTTCGTAATAGAGCTTCGTAGTAAAACTTCAGAGCATTTTTCACGAGATGTCCTCATCGGCAGATCTCGTAACAAAGTTCGTAATAGAGCTTCGTAGTAAAACTTCAGAGCATTTTTCACGAACTAGAAGTCTTCACTGGCAGATCTTGTAATAGAGTTTATAACATAGCTTCGTAAGAAAACTCTAGAGCATTCTTCGTGAGCTAGATGTCATCACCGGCAGATCTCGTAATATAGTTCATAATAGAGCTTCATAGGAAAACTTCAGATCATTTTTCACGAGCTAGATGTTCTCATCGGCAGATTTTGTGTCAGTGTGTAAGTTCAGAGCATGATGTTATGCTATGACATAATTCTCTCTTTCTCTCTTTCTCTCTTACATCTTTCACTCTTTAGCAGCATGTAAATGTTAATGTTTCTTTGTACATTTTGAAACTTTCATGTCAGATTAGATTATGTTTGAACATGTTTGAAATTTGTGAATGTCAAGACTCACGAAGGTATGTGTAATCTGTAATCTGTGAAATCTGTAGGTATGTGTATCTGTATCCATGAAGTTGAATCGTCTGCTAGGAATGTCGGTAGAGTTTCTATTCCGTCCGGTCAAGCTTCAGAAGGAAGAAAAGATTTGTCTTAAGGTTCTTCTGGGTGAAAAAAGGATGTGATACAAAAGAAATTTAATGCTAATATGAATTCAGTGGTGCTAATCAGTCCATGAACAATGCAATCATGACAATAAAGCAAATCCAGATGGAAATCTTGACTTCTGAATAAATTTTTAGCGCATTGTGGGTCAAACGATTGAACTTACCAAACGTGGCAAGTGCTTGCCACGTTTGGTAAGTACTTAAGCTTGCCATTGCGTTTAGAATCAAAAGAATAAAAAAAAAATAAAAGGTACCAATACGATAGTGTCGCCAACTATTGTTATCATCCAGTCCTTGTTGGATAAAATTCAAGATGAGCTGAATAACATCTAAGGATTCTAAAGTTCTTGCTGGAGCTTGTAAAGACAGAACAGTCTTTGGAGATGAAGAATATATTACAAAATTGAAGAGGTAGGGTCCAAATTTGCAAATCAGTCTACACACTCACAATTGATGATGTCTATTTTAATTTTTAAATTCAGATCTCGTATTATATTTTGGATAACAATGGACTAGAGCTTGGGCCGAATCTCATACGTAAGCTCTTTCTTTCTCTCTTACATAAAAAACTATTTACATCTCTCTTACGCAAAAACTCTTGAGAAAATAAAAAAGATACATCAAATTAATTGAAAGATACTTCCAAATTTGCCATTGCATTTATATGCAAAAGAAGTAACAAGAAACAAAAGGTTATGATATCATCATTATCATCATCTGATCCTTGTTGATAAAATTCAGGAAGGGCTCAATGGCTTCAAAGAATCTTAAAGTTCTTGCTCCAGCTTGTGGAGAACGAATGTTCTTTGGAAATGAACAAGTGATTACAAAACTGGAGAGTTAGTATCCAAATTCGCGAATCAATTTAAACCCTCACAATCAATGATGACTACTCTAATTATTAAGTTTAGATCTTGTATTATAATTTTGATAACGATGGGTAGAACTCGGATTCATCATGATACGACAACTCTTTCTTTTTCTCTTATATAAGAAACTCTTTACATCTCTCTTACGCATAAACTCTTGAGGAAATCAAAAATATACATCGACAATTCGAGAGCAAGATGTTTTGTCATAACGCAACGCTCTCTTACATCTAGAATTAACAGAACTTCTTAAGAAATCAAATAAAAATACATCGAATAAATTAACAGTTCTAAATTTCATAGCAAGATGTTATGCCATCACACAATTCTCTCTCTTACATCTAGAATTTGCATATCTCTTGAGAAAATCTGTGAAGATACATCGAATCAATTGAGTTATAGTTCCAAATTTCAGAGCAAGGAAACACCCCACAAATTATTATTCAGAGACCATTAAGTTAAAAGTGCAAACTTGATGCAGTAATTAGAATTGCGAACAATCTAGACCAAATTTCATGAAATATTTTATAATTGTTAAAGTATAATTGCATAAATCAATCACTGATAATCATATTAACATAATTTGTCATCATTAATCAAGAATGATTAGAGATGTTTGTCTGTAATTCCATACTTTTATGTTCTAGTCTTCTATAATTTGCTATAGATGATATCGTAGATTGTGTTAAGAAACCAATTTTCTCAAATTGTTGTTGACGTATCAACTGATGACGAGCTCTTAGGAGATTAGAGAGTAAATTACCTTAAAGATCTATAGATAAAGATGACTTAGTGAAGAAAAAGTTAATCTAATCAGTGATGGCTCTATTTGGCTCTATTACACCGGAGTCGGTACTTGGACAATATCATCGTACTCTTAATGGCTTACACTTTGTAGAAGGTTGTGATCTTCGAGAACAGACTTGACAATGTCAATATCATCAATATTGT